ACAAGCCACCATACCTAGTCTCAATTGCTGTCTCAGCGCACCCCAGGGGCGTGGCCAGCAGGGCAGGCCTGGGATTGAACCCCTGGTCCCCGCACATGCTTGCAGGTGCTTCAATCCTGCTTTAATCCACTGAGCTATTTGGCCAGCCCTTATAGTTCTTTCTACTTGTTTGGAGGTTCTAGTAGGTGAGTGCAGCTACACATATATTCTCAACCAAGGAAATGGACTGTGTCTGTCAGAGGTGGTCATCCTCTTTGACCAAGTGCACAGCTTCTGGGAGGGATGCACATGGAGCAGTGAAGGAGGAAGGTGATACCCATGTTGCCAGCTACATCAGGAAGATCAACGCTGGCAATCAATGAGGTGACAGATGTAGCAGCCAGATCACCCTCATATCAACTTCTTTCTTTTTCTATCACTGAAGATCTAGCAAGGACAATTCACCATTGGAAAATCAACATATAATAACAAGTCAAGAGGTGGAACAGGAATGCTTCAAAAGACAAATGTTGGAGCTGAGGCTGTAGCCCAGTGGTAGCACTTACCACTGTACAAGGCCCTCGGTTCCATGTGCAACACCACAAACCACACACACACACACACACACACACACACACACACACACACACTGTTGGGACCATGTCAGTGAAGAAAGAAATTACTGTACAGCAGGCCATAAGGCAGAAATTTGGCAGTATATCCTATAAGGTTAGTATCCTTCCTATTTATTAAAAAAGAAAAGGAATTCCACAGAGGGTAAGTGCTTTGCCCAACCACAGAGCAGAAAATAAGAAGTAGGAAACAAATTTCCAGACCCACTCCATCTTTACCACTCTTTCCGATGCTGCCCCGAACCTCTGAGAGTCTCAGAACATTCTTCTGAGCTTTTAGCCATGATTATAACTGTCATTAACAGCTGCTTAAGCCACACCATGGAAAGTTAAAGAGAGGGTCGCTGAGTTTCATCAAGGTTCCTTGCCAGGCAACTGTGCTAAAAAACATCTTTTCCTCCCCAGGATGTTAGTAGGAGGCACACAGATTGTTGCAGTCTTCTGGCTTCTTCCAGACAACCGCAGCAGGCTGGCCCGGACTCAGAAAACAGAGGACGAAAGCCACATGAGAAGGCTGACTCCAGGAGCTGGTCCCTGCAGACACAACACTGAGGTGCTCCTGAGGCCATGAGTGGGACCCCCTCCCCATGAGAAGATAGCAATTCCTCTTCCCAGGTCTTCATAACCTGACCCTGATCCAGCTTTCTAAATTTGTCACCGACTCCCTGAACACCTTGGGCTCAGTGGGTTCCTAGTCTGTGCCCCCAAATTTCACGAAGTAAGATGTCCTTTCCCATCTTTTCAATTCTTTCTCTATATCTCAAGTCCTTCAGTACCCAGCTACAATCTTACTTATACAAAAGAGCCTCCTAAATATCTATAAGTGTTCTCACCCATCACCTACCCCAGCCTAAATCCTGATGTTAGTCCTTTGTATAGAGTGACATCACTAGGATTGACATTTACTGGCAAATACTAAGCATCAAACAATGTGTTTTGTCATTTACTGTAGTGTGTGATCTAATTTAATCCTCACAATTATTGCTCTTATACCTATTAAACAGAAGGAGAAAGTAATGCTCAGAGAGGCATCCACTTACCCAAGGTCATGTAGGGGGTAGAGGAAGAGTTAGGATTTAAACACAGGCCATTGGCTGGCAAGACAGCTTAGCGGTCTAGAATACCTGCTTAGGCAAATGTAGGCAAGCTCACAGGGATAGAGGTTCAATACCAGCCCTGCCCCTATGGTGGGCTAAGCAAGCCACAAAAAAAAAAAAAAAAAAAAAGGCCTTTTTGCCTATACAACTTATGTTCTTTGTCACTGAAACCACTGCTTCCCAATTCTTTAGGAAGTTGTTGCCTTCCTTATAGAATGGAAGCACCTGAGAGTAGCACTTGAGTTTCATTCATCATCTGAAACCCTGGGATGTCTGGCTGAGTGTCCTGAATTCACACACCACTCACTGAATGCCATTATGCCCTCTGTGTTTTAGAGAAATCCCATCATAGAGCCCTCTTTTTTTTTTTTTTTTTTTTTTTTTTTTAAACAGGGATTGAACTCAGGCCTTTGTGCTTGCCAGGGAAGCGCTTATTCCATTGAGCCATCTCCCCGGCCCCCCATAAAGCCCTCTTTGCTAGTAGCCAAGGTCATTTCATTCTTTTCTTTTTTTCTTACTCCACTGACAGGTAATTGATTGGCAGTTGAATGTACAACAGAAGAGAAAAAGGGAGAGGAAAGCAAGACTGCAGGAGACAGGAAGAGTTGAAGGTAGGAGGATCCGGTACTTAAACTGACTGAAATTACTCAGAGTATGAGATGCAGAGCAACCGGGCCTGGCCTCCAGCCTCACCTCTTTCACAGTAGCTAAGGAAACCTGGACAAGTTGCTCCACCTCTCTGAGCTTGCTTCTTCTTGTATAAAATGGGCATGTTGCAACAGTGCTCAGCTTGATAGACCCTCTGGGCTGTTGCCAGGATGGAGGCTGTAACTGAGAGAGTGAGTGGGTGCTGCCTACTGGACACTTTAATCATGCTACTAACTCTTTTAAATGGGAACAGGTAGAGGATCTACCCAATCTGAAATCCCCTCCATATGAAATCACTGGGCTCTAAAGACTTGGGGGCAGAAAGGAGCTCACAGAATCACAGAGCCATGATAAATATCTTGGAGACCATTCAGCTTGCTTTCTTACTCCAACAGGCAGTATGGTGTGACAGACTGTTGGCCACCTTTGCCAACAGGTAAGCCTGGCTCCACATACTGATCCCCCATTTTCTAACTGTGCACGTCACATTTTGCTCCTCTAAGACTGATTTCTCATCTTTATTGTGGAATTTAAAGTGGTTCTCTTCTGTTAGCACGTTTGGGAGGCTCAGAAGCCCAGGCAATGACAGCTGATCTTTCAGCTGTCCTAGTTGGGGTGGGGAACCTGGACTCAGAGAGGGAAAATAATTCACCCGCAGTCACACAGCAGGTTAGGAACAAAACCAAGTCTGTGTCTAGGACTCCAGAAGCTAAGGCCTGCCAAAGCCCAACCCAGGCTTATCCTCACACAGCTGTGGCCTTAATTCCAAGAGGGCTGAGGCTGTCCTTAGAAATGCAGGCAAGAACTCATGCTGGGAGCATAGGTGGGATTCTGTCTCACACTGAGCTGGAACAGCTGTTTGTGTTGTCTGTGGCTAGAGTGTGGCTAAAGCACAAGCCAGAGTCTGAGGTCATATACAGCCTAGCACCAAATATCTAATCCACTATATAACTGTGGGTGGGTCACTGCCCCTCAGTGTCTCTGTTCTGTGAATGAGAGTAGGAATTCCTGGAGAGGGGAAATAATCATATAAAAACCAAGAGCTATTTTTATAACAGCTACCTTGAGCTTTCACTGTGCACCTTATTCTTTGTGCAAACCTGTGCTACTGCTATCCATGGCTTTATTTGGTTCTCATAGCAACCGTGAGGTAAGATGCCTTGCAGATAAATGGCTCAGAAGAAGTGAAGCCAGGCTCTGTGCTCCAACACTATTCCCTCTGCCTGAAATACTTTTCCTTCTTTTCCTACCAAACTCAGTCTCTTTCTTCAGATTTAAGCTGGCTTCTTTTGTTTTCTTTTTTCTTTCTTTCTTTCTTTCTTTCTTTTTTTCTTTCTTTTTTTTTTTTAATTTATTTAGGACAGGGTCTACAGGGTTTCACTACATAGATCGGACTCTTAGTGATTCTTCTGTTTTTAGCCTCCCAAAGCATTGGGATTACAGGCACACACCACCACGCCCAGTCTCAGTCGCCCTCTCAGTGCTCCCTGTGGGCGGGGCTGGCACCATACACCCCGGATCTAACCTCACGGCTGCACTCTGCCTAAGCAGATGCTTTAGTCCGCTCAGCTACCAGGCCGGCCCTTAGCTGGCATCCTTTGAAAAGATCCCTTGGTGGTCAGGCTTGGATGGGCACCTGTCCTGGCCTACAGTACTGAATTTCTCCTGTTCCTCTATCAGAGGGGTGGCTCCGTGACGTAAAGACCTTGACACTGTCACAACTGCATCTACAGAGCCTAGTACTGTGCTTGACATACAGCAGGTGCTCAGTGAATTCTTGCCAAATGACTGAATGCATCATGCCAGCATCAGGAATGCCACCCGGGCCTCAGAGGGAGCCAGGAAGATCAGAGAAAAGCTTTTGGACCCTTGCCACACCTTACATTAGCAGCATCTTCTCCAAGTCCCGACAGCCAGCCTCCCGGGATGCCATTGGAGCCAGCTGAATTCCAGTCACTGCTTCACCTTGGGAAGGCAGCCGCAGCCCTTACCAAGCAGTAATTGACATCACACTGGTGCCAGGAGCTGCCCTTTTAATATTTAATGTGGCCTTCACTGCGGCAGCACTGCAGGCAAGGAAAGCTGGAAGGGGCTGTGTTGAGTCTCTGCTGGGTCATGGGAAGGGCACAAATGTGAAAGGGCATCTAAATCACAACGCTGCCAGCAGATGAGCTTTACACCAGCCCATCTGAGTCCATGGCTTAACTCAGAAAGAGCCAGAGTAGCATGTGCTTGTAGCAGAACAAGAAGACTGCTGACTGAGCCCAAGCCATAAACAAATGGGGGATTAGGGACTCCCAGGGACATTTCCTGGAGACAGTGGGAAGGCTGAGTACTGGCGCCAGCCAGACCTGCACCTTGAGCCAAGTTTGCTGTGCATAGCCATGTGACCAGGGCAGCAACTAGACCACTGAACCTCAATTCCCTTAACTGTAAAATGGGGATAGTACTTTCCTTGTGGGAGTGCTGGGAAGACTGAATGAGATAAATGACATGAAGAACTTATTAGCACATAGTAGGCCTTCAACAAATTCTGAGTTCCTTCTCCCAGAACCAGAGTTTGCAACAATGAGATTTGCATCTTGGTCAGAGAAATGGTAAAGGGGAAGAAGAATCAAGGAGGTACAGGAAAGGGGGCCTTGGAGTCAAATGACACCGACTGGGACTTCTCAGAAGAAATGTCAAGAACAGATGTGCAAAAAGTCTCAGGATTACAGAAGCAGAAGGCCTTTTTGGATCATCTCTGTGATCATCTGACCCCTTCGCTTGACAGAGGAGCACACTGAGGGCCCAGGAGGGAGAAGACAAGCCCAGAGGGTCACCTTGCAGGGCTGGGACACCTACTCAGCAGTCTCCTAGGACTCCCATCAGCTGAGGGGTTTACCCAAGGTCATGTGCCTGCTGTGGAGGCAGAAGAGTTGACAGACATGATCAGATGCCTCCATGCCCTGGTAGAGACCTTTGTCCTGTTTGCTGGCCTGGACAATGGAAGGAACTTCATCCCCCATCCCCTCTGGTCTCTTTCTAGTCCATTTTGTCACAAATCTTGGGGGCTTCCCCCAGTGTAAATTCTGACAGTGTCATTTCCCTACATGAATCCCTTCTGTGATCCCACCTTTAGAGTCACCAGAGAAAAATACAGGAGGCTCAGTTAAAACTGAATTTCAGATAAATCATGAACACAGCTTTAGTATAGGAATGTCCCAGATATTGCATGCACATACTTGTACTAAAAAAAGATGTGTTGTTTATCCAAAATTCAAATTGAACAGGACACCCTGTATTTTTATTTGCTAAATCTAGAGTCCTATGTACATTGCCCTCAGAAAAAAAAGGTTGGAGTCTTTATCTGGCCTATTTTGGCCCCAAGATCATTCTTCTCCTTTCTTACACATGGAATCTTCACTTCAGGCAAAATTCTCTGCCTCTACTTGAGAATACTAAGCTCTCTTTCCTCTGTCTTCTTCCAGTTTTGTTCCTTCCATAGGGTCCTATTGGTACCTTCTACTCCTCCCATTGCCCATAGTGCTTGGCCTGCCTTCATTGTCCAGGTATCTGAAGCATTGTTATTTTTTCCTTATGTAGTGAGGATTGTCAGTATGTCTAGGGGATTAGTACAGCACACTTCTAGGTGTGTCAGGATGGGTCGCAGAAATACGACCTTGAGTACTATATGTGGTCTTTGGCCCTTTCCTGTCTAGCACTGTTCTCCTGCTGCTCTGCATTATATACCTTCATTACTCCATGCCCTTCTGCCATGATGCTTGTGCCTTGCTATCAGCTAACCATGGACTGAATCCTCTGAAACCATGATACAGATAAACCTCTCTTCCTTTAAATAGTGGGTCTTGGGTAATTTGCCCCAGCAACAGGAAAGCTGATTAATAAACTCCTGCAAGGCTCTGTGACTCTCCAGGTCTTCTCTGGACCCCCAAAATACCTTTGGTGGTCTCTCTGCCTGTTCTGCTTACTTAATGCAGAGTATGGGTTCAACAAATGTTCAATATATTGAACTGTTAAATTCAAAAGTCCCTGATACTTCCTCTATGAAGTTTTCCTTCTTTTAGTCAAATCTATGTGTTCCCAATGGCCCTGTAGGAACCTCATTTCCTCTAGGCCTTCCATGGATCCCAAAATCCTCCCGTTCTTTTCTTTTGAGACAAACCTAGTGGTCTTAGTCACTAGGCAGGGCACAAGCAATTTTTTTTTAATCCTCTAAGCTCAACAAGATCAGCAACCTTGACTCTTCTCCAGTGACCTTCATTGCTGAGCACTGTGCCTTCTTGCCAGATGGTGCCCAACAAATGCTGGTGAACTTGTAGGATGACAAACAGATTCTATGTTTGATTCCCTTCTCACCCAGTGCCAAAACCCAAACCTTAGAGCCTACTCTGAAGGTATTTTCTACGCCTATAAATCCTCTTGTATCCTATGTAACTATAAGGGATGTAGGAAGGTATTCTTATTTCCTATTTTATAGAATAGAAAACCAAGGAAGTAGAGAAACTCATTGTTCAAGGCCCAAGTCTCTGGATTCTGCCCTGCCTCAGGGGCTTTTCATCTGCTATTCCTCTGCTTGGAACACTCTTCCTGAAGATCTTTATGTGGATGATGTGGCAGATTAAAGAGGGCCACAAATATTTTATTGCTGTTTTTACCAAAGGGGGCATCTCTGACTCTACCCACTGACTCCAAACTGACCTTGTGACTTTTTGTGTTTAAATGTATTTGGTACAGGATCTCACCATGCAGCTCGGACTTGTAGTGATCCTCCTGTTTTCACCCTCCCCAGTGCTGGGATTACTGGCATGTGCCACCACCCCTGGTCTAGGTTGCCAGCTCAGCATACCTGGGGGTGGGGCTGGTGTGGCATATGGTGCCTGGGATCGAACCCCAATCCCTTCACTTGCTTAAGCAGGTGCTTAATCCACTGAGTTATCTTGCTGGCCCTATGAATTGTTTC